AGGAATGCTTGAAATTTGTGTATCCAAGTCTGGATCACACAAACAACCGTGTCTTCTTCTTGAGTCCCATCTCAGACTTTCCCTTATCACTGCTCCGGCCCGGCAGCGTGCACTGCTCCTCTGCTGTGACTAATCAGGGGTGGATAAAGATGCTCAGTGGGCAGATTAGTTCTAATATGAGTGAGTACTGAACTGACAGGTTTGATCCCTCTGTGTACAGAAGCAATCTGCACCAAGTGCAGCCACTTCCAGCTACTGTTAGGACTGCATATGTGGGCTGGTAAAGCACATACAAAATCCCTTTGAGGCATCCAAGAAAGAAAACTATTAGGATTTTGGCTCAAGCCACTATCCCCCTGTTAATACAGCTCTGATTTCAAGGGTGTTGTTTGCAAATTATTCAGACAGAAAAATCAGCGACTCCTGAATTTGCTTTTGCGTGGTATGGACAAGCTCTGCAGCACCAAGGATTTTGTTCTATTTTGGGCATTAAGGTTCACTTCCCATATTAGCTGGTCAGAACAAAGCAATTCATCTTGGATATTACATGGCCTCAAGCTGGTCTGCCACTGTCAGAACAAGCTTCTGGAATAGAGATCTGCTGCTAATGTGTGTGAACAGCCTTGGCGATCCTCAATGGCTAGCAGATGTAGTTGCCAGCTGAGTCCATTAGTCAGTGAAGCTGAATTAGACTGCTGCTATCCTGCTTGCTCATTCATCTTGTTAATGGGGGAGAGCAGAGTGGGTTTGGTGATGCACAGGCTGTCGGCGTACTTGAGGACTGCAGAGATGGTTGGAGTTATATCTAGGAAGCAAGTAAGGGTGATAGGATAATGCAATGTGATTGATAAGGTGCACACCATCTGTCACTGTGCTTGCTGAAATGCATCAAGTTAAAGATGGTCTCTACTTGGAGAACACAATATTTACTTTACTCAGCAATGACAGCCATTACATTGTAAGGTTAGTGTCCAGCAGAGGTGGAAAGTAACTAAGTACATTTACTCAAGTACTGTATTTAAGTACAATTTTGGGTATCTGAATGTTCTACTACTTCATACTTTGACTTCACTACATCTCAAAGAAAGATATTGTACTTTTACTCTATATTTATTTGATAACTTTAGTTACTAGTTACTTTTCACAATGAGATTAAAACAAAAGACAGTATAATATCAATACTTTATTAATCCTTGGTGGGAAATTCACAAGCTACACAACAGTATGTAAAGTTATACGGATATAAGGTAGTTAAACATACTGTAGCTCCACCTTTACCAGCTGCAACATTAAATGTGATGTACACAATAATGCAGCAATTAAGTACTTTAACCTTTGGTACTTTAAGTATATTTTGATGCTAATATTTTTATGCTTTTACATAAGTAATATTTCAAATGTAGGACTTGTAACAAAGTATTTTTACACTGTGGTACACTAAACAATGAGTACTTCTTCCACCACTGTTGTCCGGTATAAATTAACAATGTCATGACAGCACAATCTAGATCTTCAAACAGTACAAGTGAAGGACAACATCAAACACCATGAACACTGTAGTAATAAAAAAATAGTAGTCAAAATAAAATCACTGTTGCAGAGGATGACATGTCGCTTCATTACAATACATGTAGGCAAGTTAAACCACAAACTGTGTCGCTCCTTAAACGTAAGTAATAAAACATTTTCTAAAAGCTACAATGTCTGGCTGTTTTAGGAAATTATTCAGCCTTATTGATGATGATGTTAAAACCATATATCATAAGCTAGAGTTTAATTCATTACGAATAGTGAATGCAGTAGGATAGGCATTAAAGGGATAAATGCATATAATGTTTAGCATCATAGAAAGTAGATTTCTCTTTTGAGATGCATATAGTTTCTCTGTGGTTTTTTGCAAAGATGCTGTTGCTGGAGTAAAATCGAAGCTGAGCTTGACATCTGTGAAAAGCTAAGCCGGGATCTAATGCCAAAGGCAGAAAATGTTTATCCAACTGAAAGCTTATTCTTGACCTACAGTGTCATTAAACAAAGTTATCTCAAGGTCCACTTTCCTGATCTTCCAAACACATCACAGAAGTAATGTGATGGCTATGTCAACCCCATGGGAACTGAGCAAATCTTATCCACTGCTGAAGACCATGAGACGTGGTTGAAAGTACTGAAAAAAAGTTTGTAAATGAACCTCGAATTGTTGTAGTTGGTGTGTTTACCATTTGTACAAGGAGATAAACCTGTTAAATGCCACTGAGGTAATGCAGAATGTGTTTACACCTGCTTGCAGAAGAAAGAATGAGACCAAAAACAGATTCTTTTTCCACATAAACTGAGTGTTTTTACTGCGTTCCAGTAACAGAAACAGCCTTATTACACATTGCACACAACGAAGAAGAAGACATCCTCAATGTCAGTGAACAAAGTGATTCCAAGTGGCCTTTGAGTGGGGGAGGGGGAGCCAGTGGACTGGATGCAGCTCCCTCTTCTCAAGATGAACTTGAGAATGCAGGCATTAAAAGCACCCAGTTGATGCTTTTGTGGGTCAATACAACGCACACAATGGGTGTAGATGCGATCGACAAAACTGTGGGGGAAAGGGGGGGGATACACTGACACAAAATCACTGGACGGTAGAACGTGCAGCCTGTACAGAACTGTCAAGTTTGGACTTCACTTTAGAAGTTTACTGGCAATAGAGAATCTGTGCAAAAAACAAACAAAACTGGCCTCTTTTTCTACATCCATGGTGGCCCTTTTGCCTCCGCTGTCGGTCAGGTGATGTTCCAGTGATTCTATGCCAGTGTTGGCTCATGTTAAAAAGGTAAAGGTTGATCTACCAGGAGCTAAAAGTTTGCCCAACTCCTGGTCAGCTTGTGACTACTCATAACACCAGTTTTATCCTTTATGTCAACATGAAAAAAAACTTGTGTTATTTGTTGGAATATGATACTTTTGCAAGTCATACACATCCATTTAGATAAATGATTTTTTTTTTATGTCAGCATACAAGGTTAGCTGGGTGACTATATATGAAGACAACAACTACAACTTTCACAGCACTGGCATTGGTTAATTTTAATTACAGTACTCAAGCATTGTTAGATTAATAAAATAATGAAATAAAAAACAACCAAACAAAACACCCTCAAAAAAAATAAGTTACTGTATGCAAGTTGGTTTCCCCCATAAAATGCTTGTTATATTTCAATGGTATGACGTACATATTTGTTTTAACCATACCGAGACACATTTATCCAAAGGGAAAATTGTCTATCACTTTGGATTTCCCTTCATTTCATACAGTACCCATGCACGTATCTCGTTATTTTGAATTTTAGTTTTCTCTAATTTTTTGACAGAAATAATCAATAAAGGTGTTAAGATAGTGTTGTCTTCACATAGACTCAGGTAATGGTGTTTTAGTCCATTTCTCGGTGCACATCCATGTTGCAGGTTTTGCAGGATACAGTGGCCATTGTGGGGTGGGGGTGTGTAAATTGTGGTTGCAGACCTGAGTGGTGGTGCCTGAGTTAGTCTGTTTAATGTCCGTCCTCCCTCCCACATGGTTCATTGGTCTGAAAAGACAAATGAAACTGTGTTAGGGCAGATTTTGTCCAAGGACTCGAGCAATGTTGTTAATAGTGTTCCAGCTCTTTCAAAATAAGATATGTGATTTTTGTACTTAAAAAATAAATAAATATAAACTTACAAAGACAAAAAAATTACTGTGGCTCTGGCTCCAGACACTTAACAAGTCCTTGACCTCAGTCTGTTTCACACTAACTGATCAGCTGTGGCTCCTGTTCTGTGTTTTTTAATTTTTATTTTTTAATCAGGAGGGAAAGTGGATCGCAGCCAAAACAAAACCTGCTAATTTGTGGAAAACCTTTTTAAAAATATCAATAACCGCAATCATCTGAGGGTCAATGACCAAAAATGTGCTAACAGCAAAGTAGGGGTGAGTTAATGAGCTTTACAGACTAAGCCGGGAAAGAGCACAGCAAGAAATGAGTGATTAACTGCTCAGGTGAAAGTAATTGCTGCCATATTTGCTGCTCTCCTCCGACAGTGGTGCAAATTAAGCTGTTGTAATACCGTGGCTGTTTTTCATCTCTTTGCTCCCTTCCTGTTTCACTCTGAAGGAGGCATGGGGCTGCAAGAAAACAGCCCTGCCTAAACGTTTCTTCCCAGCACACACCTACTATAAAAACACTCCAGAAATGCTTAATAGTGACTTCCTCCTTGGTTTCTAAAAAACCTCATTACATTCCTATATTTATACTACATTCTGGGCTGTTGTTTGTCCTTCCCTCCTTCCTGTTTGTGGAGGACTAGGGATCGTGAGGAATGGAGAAGAGGTATGTGGAGAAAGCCCTCTTTCCTGTCATGACTAAGTCTCGGTGATAGCCATCATGAAAGTATCAAGCACTGACAGGTGTGTGGTACATGTAGATATATATGCCAACTGTTGCTTTTCTATAGAAGAACAGTGTCAGAAATGTTGAGAACTGTCTGTAGGTGGGGAGGGGGCCAGCGGTGGGCTAGCCTGTAGCACTGTGGAATTGCAATAAGACAGACTGGCAAACAACACACATCTGCCTTCTCACTAGACAAGCATCTAACTACCCTGATTGGTACAACCTCCACCACACAGTGAGCATGGAGTGTCTGCCCAGTTTGGCGTGCTGTTGTACCTTGATGGGGCCATCCACTGGGTCCAGTCCCTGCTCCGACAGCTGTTTCAAGGCACTTAGAGCAGCCTGAGAAGAGAGAGGAACAACAGATGGTGATGTGAACAAG